GGCTTCAAAAGGATAACGTTAATATGATACTTGCTTTAATGACTTTATGCTGGGAAATATGATGCTGTATGAAATGATATCCTTAGCAGGCACGTATTAGTATTGGGATATGGGGAAAGGTTAGGAGAAAGTATTGCCAGATTTTTGCTGCAAAGGGATGCCTAATTCATGTTATGTTATCAAGTTATGATCTTATACCTACATCTCAGCTCTATAATAATCATTTTACATCCTTCATGAATCTTGGGTGATCTTTCTTCATGGAATTTGTTTCGAAAGTTGCCATCTGGAACTCTTTCCTCTTTAGATTAATCGATTTTCCTTCTAGATTCCATAATTTTATATTTTTTTGGGTCCAAAAAGAGACATGAAAGTAATTTGTGGTTGATGAGATGGAAACTATTTTCTGTATTCTGAGAGGTATCTCAGTAGCTTTGTTATTTTGAGAAGAGACTTAAATTCCTAGCTCATGTTGTAGCTTGTGAGGTGTCATTGCCAGTTAAATATCTGTTCAACATGAGTGCTTGGAGGATGACAAGTTTGTTATATGTACAAGTACTTGTGGATATTGTATCAGTTACAGATTACCATTGTCATTTGATACACAGTGTCACCTCTTTTTTATATCCCTTTCCCTCATTGTATCTCTTGATATAGTATTAATTCGTTTAGTTTTTATTTATTTATTTAATTTGGTGGTCTCCTTTTTAAACTATCTTTCAGTTGAAGTGCAGTCACTAGTGTTGTCAAGTATCTTGTCTTTTGAGTGCTAGTATCGAAGTCCTCCAATAATGAACTGATAACCAAAGAAATAAGTTAAAATCTTTCGCACGAGTATCTTTGAATTGTTTATTTTGTACTTCATTATTTCTTCAAGACTTTACAATATTCTAGTTATGAGTTTTAAAATAGGATAGTAGAACATAGATTTGGAGGAAAACCGTAAGATGGAACAAGCCATTGTCTGGAGGTGCTTGGAGTGCCAAAATCCAAATATTCATATATTAACTCAAACTTTATGAAAATAATATATTCGAAGTACCTCCTTGAAGACGAGTAGACAAGTAGTATGGCCATAGAAGTAAAAAGTCTAAAGAATGTGGTTCCAAATCTACTGAGAGCTTTCATCTCCTTCCCACTTTTCTATATTTGAGAAATTTATTCTCACACTGAATACGGTATCCTGCTAATAAAAAAAGTGATAGTTTCAAGTGTCTAGGATTGATTATTAACAAGAAGGGAAGAATTGAATAGGATGCAGTGGATGCATAGGACTAAAGTGGCTTGGATGAAATTGAGAAGTGCTAATGGAAATTATGGAATCTTAGGTGATGGAAGGTTCCATTAAGGTGCAAAATTTTATAGAACAATGATTAGACCGATTATGCTTTATAGTTTTGGGCGTTGTGGCTATTAAAGGTCAAAATTTTCATCAATGAACTTGGCAGCAGAAATGAGAATATAAGATGGATGCATGGTCATTCTTAAATAAGTTGAGGTAGCATTGGATAAATTAAGGGAATGACAACTTAGTCAACTTAAAGAAGTCCATATTCATAGGAGCAATTTTGACAAAGCAAGTTAGATGAGGAAAAGGTAAACCAAAACTAATTACTTGGTAAGCATCTCGTTGCTTAAGATATCCCAGTATATCTAGCAATAAATAGCGCAGAATGATGAAGGACTCATGAACCGACCCAAAATTTGTTGGGTACAAGGCTTTTTCTCTCCTGCCATTGTCCCAATTCCTAATCATGGTAGCAAATGGACAAGATGGATTTTGCAAGTAATGTTAAGAATGCTGTGACCCTTTTACTGCTTAATATGAACAAATTTGCTTTGTTTCATAAAACTTGATACAGGTAGAACTTAATTTCTCTTTGAGTTGTATGGCATATTTTAGCTACCTCCTATGGAGTTCATAATTCAAATTTGTTGATGCCATGAAGAGAACATCCGTTCAGTTTCCTAAATCAACCTATTTCCTCCTCAATAGAATATACGTACTTTCTTATTGATTAACAATTTCACTTCATCACATTTTTTGAAAATTCTTATATTTTAGTTCTTGTATGTATTTAAACTATACCTTGATAGAAATTTGTTGTGTATGTGATGCAGGAGAAGCATAAGAGGATCCAAAATCAATTATCGAAACTGGAACAAAGATAATTATTACAATCTTATGCAAATGCTTCATTTTGAAAAGTTAGGAATATTTGGTTTATTAATATCAGATTCACAATACTATTATCAACACCACCAAGCTAAGCTTTATCCTCGAGGTGTTGCAAATATTCCATAAACCAATGACCAAAACCTCTTTGCTCTTTCTTTTCCACTAATTAATAATGTCAAGCACAACCTAAGTTACATTTTATGCTATCGTAGGACTAACCTTAGAGTTCATGCACAGGGACCTATCTACCTTCCTTACCAGTATATAATTTATTTGACTAGATTTTTGCCCGCTTCTCAAAGTTAGCAAACCAATTTCTTTTTCTTAGGTACATATTCCCTAAGCATCAACTCTTAAATTTTGAAAATATTTTTGAATGGAATATTTATTGGAATAAGACTTCGCTTATAGTCATCAATTCAGATAATCTGAGTTTTCGATTAAATTTTGTATGTTACTTCAATTTCTTTCACATCCCTCCTCCGTTATATTCCTAATTTTGGCATTGCTGAACATTCTCCTCTTGCCCTTTTGTTCTCCCCAAGTCCTCATTTAATGGCGCCTTTATTGACCTAATTGAGGATAATTTATGCTATGCATTTTCTTGAAAGGAGCTTGCTTTATTCTAGAAAAATCTCCATACATTCATTTTCTCGAAGTTCATATTGCTTGCATCATTATGCGTACATTTTTTTTTTACGTAATTCATTTATTGATGTTTCCTCAATGTCTCTTTAGCTTTTGCTTGGCTGCACATACATTGACACAGACATGTGTGTTCAACATGATATGTGTTGGATACGCTGACACATGATTTTTAAAAAAAGTACCGACACGACACATCGATTAAATTCTTTAAAATTTTTCATTTATATAATATAAATTTAGTTTTGCACTTGTTATTAATTTTTATTTTTGAAATCTTTTAAATGTAGTACATATTTGTTATTTACTAATGATTTTGAATTAAAATATATAATATTTTTAATAAAAAAAGAAAAATATTTATAGCAGAGTGTCCGAAGAGTGTCGATATCGACACGTACATGCTATCCTAGTTAAAGTGTTCGTACCACAGAGTCGGTAATCATAGAATGATTGAATACTATTCACATTTATACTATTTGTGATTTATTTTTTGTTAAGTATTATAAGTATGAATGATGGAGAACCAAATAGTTTTAAGTGCTTTCTTTTTGTCATTTTAGATTGAATGAATGCGAAGTTGTGGATTGTAAGTGCAATCTTAGTATTGCTTAGTGGCTTCAAAACGTTGAGAATTGAAGTCTAGGTAATTGCCAAAAGCTTCAATTGCATACCATTAACAAATGCAAGTGCACATATTTGAAAAGGTACGAAGTTGATGAAAGAACAGAGAAAAAAAGGTGATACTAAAATCAGGTGTTTCTATGCACCAAATGTGAAAAAAAAAAAATTTATTTTATCTTTACACGAGAATGATTGAACTCTGATAGATATCAATTTAACTTGTCTAAAGTGATAATCATTTTGAGTTAGCATGCAAGAGCGGATTCCAGTGGATTATTGACCTGCTAAAATTCTAACCATAGTATTGAATAACATGATACAAAAAAATTTGTATGTGCTACTGCTATATCACATAGATTTGAATGTATCCAAGTGGATACTCTCATTATACTCCGTTGTTGTCCATAACGCTTTTACACGGTGACGTTGCAAGATAGTTATGGATCGATTTTCTTTAGGCATTTGGTTTTAATAGATGTAGTGGATTCCTTGTTGAACAACCAATTGGGATTGGTTTGGTAAGATGGGAACAAATGTATAGTGGAAATAGTAGTTTTGGCTTATCCACTCAGTGAATTCTTAAAAAATGAAATAGCAGAATTTTTGAAGGAAAAGAACTAATAGGAGTTGACTTGTGGGATATGGAATTTCTGTAGCATCTTTATCAGTGTCTACAAATAAGTAGTTCAAGGGTTTTTCCATCTCCTAGACTGTTCTAAGGTGAAATATTTTGTATTTTCTTGATTTTCTCAAGCAGAAGCCTTGTTCTCGTCTGTTGTATTCTATATTTCAGTAACAAAAAACTCATTGTTCTCATAAAAAATACATGGACACTTTTCTTTTTCAGTAAAAATGAAGTATAATTGCATAATTGGTTTGCTGCAGTTTATATACAGGCTGGATTGTGTTTTTCCTCTGGTAAATTTTATTCTTGGTAACCACATTACTCTATTTCAATCAGGTAAATAGTAATCCAATTTTGTTGAATCAGTTAACTACACTTTAATTTAATTTCATTGTGTTAACTACATCTAAATTGATGACATAGCAGTCGATGAATGATACCCATTATTTATTGCAATGTAGTTGTACTTATTTCACATCAGCAACTTATGATTATTTGTGATCGTCATTTATTGACCGTTACATCATCTATTATTGTTAATGAAATTGAACAAAGTTATTGTAGTTGAAAATTTTAAACTAAAGTGTAGTTACCTCATTGAAATCAAATTAAAGTCTGATTAACCGATTGAAATCATACTAAGGTGTTGTTACCTGATTGAACATAATTGAAATACAATTACTTGATTGATCTAAAAGTGAAATTATAGTTACCGCGGATGGGAATTACCCGTTTTCTTGATGCTAATTTGAGGAAATTCTATTGTTGACGTGAATATCAAAATAATAAGAGCTATATTTTCATCAATTTCAGAGGTTTTATGAGCATGGAGCTGAGACGCAAGTGGCACAAGATGCTCCTTTAAAGCCCTCTATGGACATCTTTGCCGTAGGGTGGGTATTTTTAACTTTGAAGTCATTTTTCTTAGAAGAAAATTCTTAGATTATTGATTGATAAATTGATTGAACTTCCGTGAGCATTTGAATGCCATGCTCCTTTATTTGATGGCAAACATCAAAAAACAGCAAGAGGCCTCAAGGACATGGATGAGGTTGCTATACTGCCAGTGTTATCAATATGCCATTCCCCCTGCCATTGCACCATCACTATCCTCTGTGCTGTATTTCTTTTCTCCTGGGGATATTTTGGGATATTTATCTGCATAATTTATATGTGATGCAATAAGGGGGGAGCTTCTATCGCACCCCGAAAATTTCTCTCCACACCCACCTTCATTTATACTCAACCAATTCAAAATTATGAAAATTCCTGTCTACATTCCCCAATATCTTGAAAATATCTCCAATTTGTCTCCTTAACCTCCAACATAGCATACCCTTCAACTGCCACGGACCCTCCACTTCCCTCCCATCTAGACTCCTCCAGAACTCCTCGAACCTTCTCTCCCCTCTTCCTGCACCCACCGCCTCCAATTTTCACCTTCACCTTAGGAGTATACGCAAAAAAAAAAATTTACAGGGGCAGGGGTGGGGGGTGGTGGCAGGAGAAGGTAGCTGGATTGGGAGCATAGAAGGAAGTGTTAAATTGGTATTATTGAATTTTTATATAGTGGGTTTGTGGAGAAAGATTTATAGAAGTTCTTGACTGAAGTAGCTCTGGAAGGAAAAGCTGTCAAATATATTCTCGTCAAGTAATTACTTAAACCTAACTAAATGCTTACCTATCTTCAATGAATGCATACATAAGAGGTCCAATGAGAGTCTTTAGCTTTTTATGCAAATTTATTTATTTATTTTTTATTTTTAAATGAAAGACTATTATGAGATTTTAGAACATGCTTGGTAAGTGATTCGAACCCACGTAGTAATTGAAGCCACGAAACTCACACAAGATTGATTTCAAACCCAAGAAAGCTAAGAAACCAAGGTTTTGAGTTTGACCCACAAATATTAAACCAAGAAACCAACAATCACCAACAATATGTTGATCTCTTGATCACAAGATTTAGAATTCTCATTCGGAAAGTTTGAACGCCACAAGAATCAGATCTTGATAAGTTCGGAATTGTACAATGAAGAAGAAAGAATTGAAAACAAATATTGCTTACAAAATAATCTCTCAATTGATAATGATGATGAATGTTCTTTACAATTAAATAATGAGTTCTATATATAGGAAACTTAATAAAACCTTAGCCTAAACGAAATTAAAGTCTAATAATTACAAAAGTTACCATAAAAAAATAGAGTTTTAACTTAAATAAAAGATTCGTGAAAATTGGAAATTTGTGTGAAGTTGCATAGAAGTTTTCCTCCCTGCTGAATTTTTTTGCCTACTTCTATGTGGTCGCATGGTAGGAAGGATCAGTCCCTCCGTCTATTGCATGAACCAAGTTGTTTCGCTTCGTTTGTCTTTTGAGCTCAACGTGAAACTTGTTCTTTGGTATGTTAACCTCAATCTCTTGGACTCTGTCACTTGAACAAGTGGTTGCATGGCTTTATTGGCTCTAACTAATCTCGAACTTGCCCTTAGCCTTTCCTCCACAAATATTGAACTCTTGATAGCTCGTTGCCTTCCTTGCATCACATCAGGTTATAATCTTTGAATCCTACAGAATGTCCAGATATAAGTAGATAGGAAGTTGTGGGTCTTATGAAGTATGTGGATAAAAGTATGTCTGGCCAACTTCAAAACGAGGAACCATGAGACACTCCATGCAGAGCAAGCAAGTCTTAGGGCCCGCGCAAGGAACTCAATTCTCATTAGGCGGTCGAACCAAGGACCTATGAAAGTCGAGGAAGTTAAGCTTTGCCAAACATGCTCTTCACTATTTTTAGTCGGTGAATTACTTTGTTGTGCTATGCCCTTTGTAAATAGTAGTTGTGTTACTTCGTCCTATTATGCTTTCAGATGCCTAAAGTCTACGATTTTCTGTTCTCAGGTGTGTAATTGCTGAACTTTTTCTTGAAGGTCAACCATTGTTTGAACTCTCTCAACTCCTTGCATATCGAAGAGGGCAGTGTGATCCTATTCAACATCTGGAGAAGGTACCTTCTCATTCAGGTCGTATGTTGTTGTCCTTTTATTTTAAGCTGTTTGACCCTGCCTTCCCTTTTCTTACTCCCTTCATTTTGTCCAGTAGTATGCTATTGATGTCTTATGGTACCTTAACTCCATATCTGTATGATTTTTGATGGATAGGTCTTTCCAGAACTTTCCTTTAAGCACCCTTGCAAATTTCCAGATACGTCATAATATTACTTGATTGCTTTGTTATAATGCACAAATACAGATAGCAGATTCAGGAATTCGTGAGATGATTCTTCATATGATTCAATTGGATCCAGAGTCACGAAACTCTGCGAACAGCTACCTGCAGAACTATGCAGGTGTTTTGTTTCCTGGTTACTTTTCTCCATTTCTTCACAGCTTCTATTCCTTGTTGAATCCTCTAAACTCTGATGCAAGGGTAAGGAACAGCTAGATCCTAGAAGTTTGTCTATGTTCTTGGAAGTTAGTCATTTTCTTCAAAACTAATCTAATGGCATGGCAGGTTCTATTATGCCAGACCTATTTCCTAGAAATACTGAGACATATGATGGGCAATCAGGCAAGCAATGAGATTGGTTCAGGATTGGGATGTTCCTCAAACGGTAGAAGTCAATTGCTACAGATGGATGCAAAACAAAAGTTTAATCGGGCAGATGAATCTCTGAGCCAAGGCGAACAGACAGAGAAGGGTTCAATTCATGATCGATTTGATCTTCTTGGTGATGTCAGTATCCTGATCAGAGATGTAAAACACAGCGAGTGCCATTCCAATATAAAGCCAATGCCAGATAATGTAGCTGCTTCTGTAGATTCCGAAAATCAGAAGCAATGTGGTCTGCAATCTCCTGATGAGCTAATTCAAACCATCTCTGACATATTTAAGCGAAGTCACCATCCCTTCTTGAAAAAGATTACCACCACCAATTTGAGCTCTTTGATGTCAGATTATGACAATCAATCGGACACTTTTGGAATGCCGTTTTTACCATTACCTCAGGAAGTTATGAGCTGTGAGGGAATGGTTCTGATTGCCTCAATGCTTTGTTCTTGCGTTCGCAATGTCAAGTTGCCATTTATTAGGAGGGGTGCTGTTCTACTACTGAAGTCTTGTTCTTTGTATATTGATGATGAAGATCGATTGCAGCGAATACTTCCTCATGTTATAGCTCTGCTTTCTGATCCAGCTGCCATTGTCCGTTGTGCTGCCTTAGAGACTTTGTGTGACGTTCTTCCTCTAGTTGGAGATTTTCCTCCCAGTGATGCCAAAATTTTTCCTGAGTATATCCTTCCAATGCTTTCCATGATTCCTGACGATCCAGAGGAAAGTGTAAGAATATGTTACGCCAGTAACATATCTAAGCTTGCTCTGACTTCTTATGGGTTCTTAATGCACTCTGTAAGCTTGACTGAAGCAGGTGTTCTTAACGAAACAAATTTATACCAGAAGTTTCCAACACCAGACATCATGACTAATGAACAGCCAAAGAGTCTAACTGCTGGAGGACAGCTTGCACAGTTGAGAAAATATATTGCGGAGGTTGTTCAAGAACTTGTGATGGGTCCAAAGCAAACCCCGAATATCAGGAGAGCACTCTTGCATGATATTGACAACCTTTGTTGGTTCTTTGGACAGAGGCAGAGTAATGACTTTTTGCTACCCATTCTTCCTGCTTTCCTGAATGATCGAGATGAGCAGCTTAGAGCAGTATTTTATGGGCAAATAATCTCTGTCTGCTTTTTTGTTGGTCAACGAAGTGTGGAGGAATATCTTTTACCTTATATTGAGCAGGCACTAAATGATACAACTGAGGCTGTGATTGTCAATGCATTAGATTGCTTGGCCAGGCTGTGCAAAAGTACTTTTCTGCGGAAGAGAATCCTGCTTGAGATAATTGAACGTGTTTGCCCATTGTTATGTTATCCTAGTGAATGGGTAAGAAAATCAGCTGTCACCTTCGTTGCAGCTTGCAGTGAGAGCTTAGGTGCAGTGGATTCTTACGTATTTCTGGTTCCGTTTATACACCCTTTCCTCTGTAGGCAACCAGCATCTCTAGCCTCAGAAAAATCTCTCTCTTCGTGCCTGAAGCCGCTGGTCTCTAGAGAGCTGTACTATCAAGCTGTAGAAAATTACAGAAGTTCAGACATGCTGGAGAGACAGAGAAAGATATGGTACAATAACTCATCACAGTCTAAGCAATTGGAAGCTGTAAACTTTCTCCAGAAGACAGCCAAGGAGTTAGATCAAATGGAGTGTTGGTCTGATGGACTAAATGATAATCAAATGCAGACATTTCTTAGTAGCACAATGCATCAAATGTGTGCAACAGATTCTGATGATAATGAGGGTAAGTCGAAAGCTATTGGAAGCTTAATAAAAGATTCCTCAAGCCTGTCAGACACCCACGAATTTGTTGCCTCAGAAAAGTTACATTTCTCCGGTTTTATGTCACCACATATTAGTTGCACGAACAGCTTTATAGATAAATCACCAGAAGGCATACCTTTGTACTACTCTAAGGTTGAGAATGAGGGAACAACAGGCACTGGCTCAGTGGCATCTGATTCTTCCCTGCAATATAATTCTCTAGGTTATAGTTCTTCCTCCTTGCCTTGGATGGATCCAATAAATAAATCATTTTGCTTATCCAATTCTGTTCCAGATCCTAATCTTGTCTCTGGGTCAATACATGATGGTAATGGCCCCACACAATTGCAGAGAGTCATGCATGTAGTAGAAGACAGAGAGAATGATCAAACAGGCTGCAATAATAACAAATATCGTGAAATGGGGGTGTCTGGTGCAATAAAAGGCAGTTCTCTCATAATGGAAGATAACTCCACTTCTACTGAATCGACAGAGTTGTCATCTTTTGCGTGGCCATCTACAATTCCTGATTCAGGGTGGAAACCTCGTGGGGTGTTGGTTGCACACCTCCAGGAGCACCGCTCTGCTGTCAATGATATTTATATGTCAATGGACCAGAACTTTTTTGTCAGCGCGTCTGAAGATTCTACTGTTAAGATTTGGGATTGCATGAAGCTTGAGAAGGACATCTCATTTAGGTCAAAGCTAACTTATTCCTTAGGTGGAAGTCGAGCACTTTGTGTCACTGTGCTTCAAGGTTCTTCTCAAGTTGTCGTTGGAGCAAGTGATGGGATGTTACATGTGTTCTCTGTTGATCATATCTCTAGGGGTCTAGGCAATGATATGGAGAAGTATTCAGATATTACTGATGTGGAAAAGAGTGGTGTTGGAGAAGGTGCTGTACTAAGCCTTGTGAATTACGGTTCAGATAGTGGTACAAGGAAAATGATACTGTACAGCACCCAAAATGGTGGGATCAATCTATGGGATACAAGGATGAGTTCAAGTGCTTGGAACACAAAAGTGTTACCCAAGGATGGCTATATATCATCTCTTGTAGCAGACCCTTGTGAGAACTGGTTTGTGTCTGGATCATCAAGGGGCGTGCTTATGCTTTGGGATCTGAGGTTCTGTATACTCGTAAATTCATGGAAATATTCCCTTGAGTGCCCTATTGAGAGAATGTGCCTTTTTATTCCTCCTCCTGGTACACCCTTGTCAGCTGCGACAAGGCCACTAGTTTATGTCGCAGCTGGTTGTAACGAAGTATCTCTTTGGAATGCAGAAAATGGGAGTTGTCACCAGGTACATGGGTGTTGTTTTTCAAATATCTCTCACAAAATGGATTAAGTAGTGCCGTTTAGCCCATAAGTGACATAATAAATTCTATGACTGTGTAAATTGAATTATTCGGGACCCACATAGCTACTAAAATAAGGTTCATCTTATTGACCTTTTATCAGTATACACAAGAGTACGTCAGGTATTGGGGAAAAATAATTGAAGATGAAAAAAGAATCATGTTCTTCCAATTTGTTATGAACCATTCTTTCTTTTCCTTTCTTTTATTGTTTTTCAGGGGACGCAACATATTCGAAGTTTTACTATCTTACTGAATGTAAAGTTGATGAAAATGCATGTACCATTGTTTGGACTGACAAAGCATATGTGTGCATTTAATAGATTCATATTATATCGTATTACAAAGCATTAGTCAGCATTTTTGCCAGTGCTGAAATTATTTCCAAAAACCAATGACTTGTAGTTCCATTCATGGATCATTCGTCTCGTGTTTGCAGGTATTTAAGGCAGCAAACAATGACTGCAATGCTGAATATTCTGAGTCACCTTGGGCCTTGGACAGAACTTCTAGTAAGATAAATAATAAATTGGACATAAAGAGAAATATAAATTCAAAATACAAGATTGATGAGCTAAGTAAACCTTCCTCACGTCTTCCTGGTATCCGTGCATTGCTTCCACTGCCTAGTGGAGATCTGTTAATGGGGGGTACTGACTTGAAGATACGTAGGTGGGACCATTACAGGTACTTAACTTTGTCTCTTCTTTCATTAATTTTTTCCTTAATGATTCTGCCTGTCTTATTGACCTCGACCGTTATATTTATGTAGCCCCAACCAGACTTACTGTGTCTGCGGACCATCCATCGAGGGAGATGGAAATGATTATATTTATGAGACAAAATCTAGCTTTGGAGTGCAAGTTGTGCAGGTAATTCAAATAAGTGAATCAGGATTTTCTGGTCCTTTCTTGTACACTTCCTTAAAATTACAGTATGGCAACTTCTTTTTTCAAGAGAATGTACAGTATAGAGTGGATTTTCTATTGACCTTTCTGGTGGTGTAACAGTGCAAAGTCTTGTGAGAGAATGAAAAACAGATTAAGGGGGGTGTATTTAATTGGAACTTTTAGTAACTTTTTGGGATTTAAAAAGTTAAGGGAAATTCAATATAGACTTTTTGAAACTCTCTAAAAATATTGATATATTCAATTGAAACTTTTATAAACTTTTAAGTCTTTAGAAATCACAATGTATTTAATTAAAACTTTTTAAAAGTCTCTATAAGTCTTGGGATATTCAAATTTTAATGATTTTTAGAGACTTTTATAAAAGTATCCTAGGTACTAACTTTTAAGTAAAAAGTACTCATATAAAATTTCAAAATTTGGCTCTCATTAATCACAAAATTTTGGGAGACTTAAAAAAAAAAAATGATATATGTTATGATTACAATTTATTTTTTCTATTGATTATATTTATTTCTCCCTCTCTCTCTTTGTTTATCTTTATTTTCTAGATTAAAAAAAAAAGAAAGGACTTCTTTTTTTTTTTTGGTGAAAAATATGTATATTTTATTAAATTATAAAATTTTATATGGCAATTTTATAATTAAATTTAAATATATTGATTTTTTATTTATTTCAAAGAAATATTATATTAATAATATTGAATATTAAATTTATTTTTTAACACATGCGCGCGCGCTAACACACACACACACACACAAATTTGATTATTATTTATTTAATTAAGGATTAAAATTTTTATTCTTTTTAAAATAACTTTTTATTTTATGGGGAGGGGAAGGGAAAGGGAAATTGTGGGAACTATCACTTGGTAGTTCGTATATAAGAATTTCACATTATTGCACTAAATTCATGTGAATTCTATTTTAAATGAAACTTTTCAAAAATCTTTTGAATTCTATGAAAGTTTATAAAAGTTTTAAAATAAAAGTTTATAGAAATCTACGAAAGACTTCCACTAATTCCATACAAATCTACTAAAAAATCCACGAAATCCACAGAGGTCATCACTTAAAAAAAATCCATCATAGTCTTCAAAAGTAATAATTGAATATACCCCCCTAAATGTTAAATGGAAAAGTAATGATGAATTATGTAGACATATATATATAACAGCAGTTTCTCTCCTTAGGAAGTGTGATTGAAATTCCAAAAGACTCCGTAAGATCCTAAATTTAACTCTTAGACACTTTTGAAATGTAGTCGTATACCTTCCAAGATATCCTTCAGAAAAAAATTCTTTTCATTTTAGGTCTACAACTATCCTTCCAATACTGATACATTATAAACGAAAGAAGACTAATTACTATACCCAGCTCATACATATGCTTCCTATGAATGCTGTATTAAAGTATCAATCTGAAATGCATCAGAAGGTTTAAAAATAAAGGAGAGAATTGATTTGTAGGGTGATTGGAGGGACTGATTTGGTAAACTGGGAATCACTTTTAAGTTGAAGTCGAGGATGATTTTGGTGTAGTTTGTTGTCGGAGTACACCGGCCATGGACAAATGATTATGGTGCTTTACCTTGAAATTTTTACTTGCTATAGCTGAAGGTGATCAAATAATTTCATAGGGTGCATTAAGTAGTTAATAATGCTAAGAGCAAGGATCACAGTTTAAACATTCTAGAGGACCATGTTGTCTCAAAGAGTGATTGTTTTAGGTGTTTAGGTAAGATTATTAACAAGGAAGACATAATATACTAATAAGATTAGAGCGAACTGGATGAAATGGAGAAATGAGGCAGGGATTCTGGAATTGAATCATTCCTACTATGCGGAATACTGAGTTCTTCCTTCTCACTTGTGGGTTAAATATTTTGACTAATTTAGTTGTTTCAATGTGGATGGAGGGACATGGTTTCTTTCTTCACTTTCTGTGTCTTGTATCCACTTTTATTAAAAAGTGTGAGCTGGTTAAGCAGATTCAGCCATCCTGTTAGATGATTATGGGAGAAACGGAATGGTTGTCCACAATGTTTGGGGGAAAAAATCTTTGTTATTAACCATTTATTTTCAAGGCTGAAAATGTTCATGTTAATTAATTGTTATGGAGCATTTGTTTTTCATCACAAATTTTTCAGCTATATGTATGCTCTTAAATACTAGTCTCGAGCTGCTATGGTCTGTGTTAGTCTTTTAAAGAATTGCCACTATCACTTGTTGATGCACTAGGTATCAATGGTATCATAATCCCGCCAGTTGTCAATCTCTTAATATAATAAGTGAATCATCTTATTTCTTCCTTGTTTTCAAAACCCAAGGAAGTCATGTAATGGATCTGGGTGGCCAGTTCTTCAAAATTTTTAGACGGTTGTTTTTCATTATGGTTGTATGAACATTATACATTTTTCAAAATATCTCATGATATAGACTTTGATAAAACTGGCTTTTTTTCTTGTTCATATCTCCTTTATCACTTCTACACAAGGTTTTTTCCCCTTTTCATTTACCTTTTTATTGACACAAGTTTCTGGTTTCACTTTACACGATTGTATCTTTTTAAAATGGGGTGACAGAAAATATCTTTTACTTTCTGTGTCCTATCCAATGAAGATTGCCTGGTTGTATTTTAAGTTCTTCATGCGAACAGGAGACAAGAAGACAACCTTCATTGACCAGGTTGACTAGAAAAGCAATTCTTGCTGCTGCCGTTGCTGATTCTGCAGGATGTCACCGGGATTCTATACTATCTTTGGCTTCTGTGAAATTGAACCAAAGACTTCTAATATCGAGCGGTAGAGATGGAGTCATAAAAGTTTGGAAGTAATGGATCTTAACATACTCGTAGTTCTTGTACATTGTAAGTTACAGTTTATGTTGTATATTATATTTTAGAAATACATAGTAGAATTTGTTAACATAATTGAACTTATGTTTCTGTCCCTTGCCACAATATCAAATTGCAGCTTGATTGTACATTTACTAGAATTCTGTAGCAAGAATTTTTATCCTTGTGAAAAGGAAAGGATCCTGTTTCTAGCATTGATGAGGCTATCTATTCTCTGTAAACTTGTTTTGCAAGGCTCCATGCTGATGTACATCTATATGTTCGTTTTTTCCCATATAGGTATTTCTTCATTGATTCCCATGCTTAGGATGTCTCCAATCTTTAAGCTAATTTTCCATTTTATGTTGGTGTGAAAATCCTCTTCAACCCAACTTCATATCATTACACCAAATTTGGTGTAATGAACAGTATTGCATCAAATTTGGTGCAAATTTTTATTTTTTTTTAATTTTAATTTTTTTTTTAGTTTTTTTTATTTCTCTTTTTGCCCTTCATTTTATACTATAACAAATTTTAATTCCTATTATATCATTTTTATATCCTTTTATTTAATGATTTCATTTTATTTATATTTATTCTAATTTTATTATTATTTTTATTAACACTTTTGATAAATTGTAATCAAATAATAAATTACTAACTATTGAATACATTAAAATAAAATTACTCATTAAAATTCAAAAGTTATGACAACATATTGAGTGTAATGCTTTTTAATTTATTAATAAATGCAATATTTTGGTTAATTAAATGTAATTTTTTCCTTAGTAATTTTAGTAGTAATATTATTTATAATCAAATAATTTTCGTAATAAATTATTCGTTGAGAATTAAAAAATAAAGAAATAAAGGAAACAACGTTCATCTTGTGTAACATTTAGTGTAATGGGTTGGAGATGTCTAAATTAGATGGTGGGAAAGTTGCACCATTTTAGTGCCATGAGTTGGAGATGCCCTTATAATCATGGTTTAGCCCCTGTTTGAGAGGGATTAAATTTGATTTTTATTAGATTTTGATAGAAAGTGATAAAATATGTGGTTAAAAAGTTGTGTCACCCTTAAAATATATGTTTAAAATTAACTGTTGGCTTTAACTTAGATTAATTTAATTTAATTTATTTATTTTGATAAACTTAGATTAAAATTAAAATTTTAATTCCTACCAAACGGGGGCTTAGATTACTAGAACATAATACATATGATATAAAGATGAATTTTTTACATCTCATTGAATATGATGAAGTTATATGTATTTGATTATCTTTATCAGCACTATAACTAAGGCTTAAGTCCTACATGTGACATCCCTGCAGTTTATTAACATTTTGCTTTAGTTTAAATATGAAGGAACTGTTAATGATCTCAGTCAGAAAGATATTAAATTTCTGGAGAACTCTATAAACTTCATGAAACCATGGGAGAACTTTAGTTTTTTTTTTTTTTTTTTTTAAGTGTTTATCAGGAAAAGTACAAGCTTTGCAGAAGGTATAATGCTGTCATTTTCATGTTAATTCACCCTTCAGAAATAGTGAAGCTTGTGTAATGGCCCTAGAGACTCTCCAAATTTCATGTTGTACAGAATGCCATGAATCTGCAGTATCTATGCTCTTCGCCATTTCAATTGCGTCATCTATCCCAGGGAAGGGCTTAGAACCATAATCATTGTGCTTTGCCGGTGCATAGATCTGAGATAGAGTAACGTATAATTAGTTTGGTGCGGACAAAGGTAACTATAGAATTCCAAATATAAGAATTAGGGCTGGACAAAACTCTCGAACTGAACCGAACCCGACGGTTCTTCTCAAGTTAAATACCCGAACGGGTATTTGAATCAAGAACCGACGGATATAGTTCGGTTCTCGGTTCTAAGCCAAAACCTGAAGAACCGAATTTTTGTAATTTTTTTAATTAATTTATTTTAAATAAGTAAAATTATTTTATTTTTTTCTAAATAAATTTGTTAACTAGTTAATTTAGTTTAAACCACAAAATATGATTTTTCTATTTCTAATTTTCAGTTCAAAATCAATTTAATCAAATTGACCTCAATTTTATCCAAATCTGTTATTCTACTGTAATGTCGTTTCTACTGGAGAAAATCGAATTAAAGCTCTGCAACATCTCTCTTAATTATTTTGAGTTCGCTATCTTTCTCTTTCTATGATTTTAATAATCAAATTTATAAAGAATTCAGCAAAGAGAGACGTGAAATACATAAGATTGAACTACATTATTTTGTAAGAGTTAATATTGAACATATCATTAATTAAATTAACATAACTTTGTATATATTAAAAAATTTAATTATAATACGGAACCGAATGGAACCGAACTCGAACGGTTCCGTAATTAAATTTGGACCCAACGGTTACACTTACTAAATACTCGAAAATTTCGGGTAGTTTCGGTTCTCGTTAGAACCTAACCGAATCGGACCATGTCCAGCCCTAATAAGAATCCACCTATTCCTACCGGTTATCACTTGACCAAAATATTGTGTAATTGTTTCGTGCTTATTCATTATTATAATTTGTTTTCAATTTTATCATTTTTACCTTTTCTATTTCTTTTCCCAGATAAATTAGTGTTGAGGCCTTAGATTAACTAGGCTTAAACAGTAGACACGTATCAAATAATTTTACTTGCATTTACGGTGGTTTAATTTGTTCTTTGTAGTAAGACGTACCAAGTGCTTATACCATGACCTTCCAGAAAGTCCTTCTCTGTCTGTAAATGCTCGCTCTGCCATCATGAGCCTGTCGTTCAACTCTCTCACTTTCTGACTGTCATTTTTCCATATTGAAGCCCAACCTTTGCTACTTTCTAGTGCCTAGAATATTGTATTACTGTTAAAGCAACTTTCATAAAGTAATAAGGATTCCCTTGAGAAAGTATGGAAGTACCTTTCTCTCATCACCTATCTTAATGGCTGCTTCTTTGAGTTCGTTAATAGACTTGAGCAAGGGAGCAAGTGTTATCCACTTGTTCAGCAGTTCACCTTTCAAGTCTTCTACACTTTTCTGTTTCATTGATTTGAAATAATATACTACTTGCATAAAAAAGAGAGTTACCTTATTTCTTTGAAGATTTGTCTACTGGTTATGTAGTTCCTTAGTCTGTAACATACCTGAAGCTCATCAGCATAGGAGACATAGTTAAAAGGCAAAATTTCTTGATCTGCTAGCTGAAGTGCTACTGTACCCCAAATACTTGCCACTGTGAACATTATTATGAACAGTTGGTAAAAGTTATCAGGTAGAACAAAATTTCCTTGAAAAGCTGAACATTGAGCTCATAAAATATGGAGTTCAATTTGTTGAGTCCTTTGTGTATCCTACATAGTAACAGTATTCATTTTTTATTAATGCTTTTGGTAGATTGAAAATTTACTAATTTTAAAGTGTGAGATTACTTGATGAAAATGTCTTGCATCTATCTTTACAAAAAGGAAGGACATGCACAAGCAGTTGCATTTGTTTCAATTTACACACCATAACACCCTAACAGATCAAACAAAGCCCATGCATTCATTGAACTCTTTTTAACTATCTGAAACATAACTTCAAAGTTTAACCTAAAACTCAAAAAGAACTTTGCATATCCTTAAGTGATTAAAGCTCATTTTTGTGACCTTAATACGTTATCATCATGATCATCTCTCCTACTTGGTCAAATATAATTTAGCCCCTATTCGATGGCCATTATTGTGTAAAAATGATGTTTTGAATAGTGAGTTTTTGGAGAATGTGTGTTAAAAAGTAGGGAAAATTGTGGGTTTACGTGTGAAATATTTTATTGTGTGAATGTGTGGTTAAAAATGAGTGAAATAAATTGTTTTGGGGATAAATGGAGTCAAACAGGGACTTAGTGTCTAGGACTTGAAAAAGACATGTCTAGTAAAACTCATGCCATATATAAAATTTCTTTATGCTGTAGATTATAAACCAATATATGATATACATATTTACACACTGTTTTTACTTGAAAGTGTTTATCATAGTTGATAGCATAAATAGTTGTTCAAACATGATATTAATTAGGGGGTAATGAAATTTGATACTATAAAGGAGCTAATCCTAAGTAACATTAATTACCGCGTGAACGAATAATAAATTTGGGACAAGGAAAAAGTTTGTTTCTGCAAATTATTTTTATTATAAGAGATCATTATTTTATAAAAATTAAATATAAAAGAATTGATAGCATATGTTAGATTTAATATTGACTAATGGACTGGACTTTATTTTGTCCTAGCATCATTCTGTAATGCTTAGGTTGCACATTTTGTTGCATGCATCTTACAGCTAGAAACTAATGTTAAGACTAAGACCTGCCTCTTTATATTTAGAACTGAGAGTACTTATGCATATACTTCCATGTTATTCACTCTGTTTCATTGGTTTAAATTCCTGTCTAATACTAGGAAATTTGGAAATCTTGATATTTTTATTCATAATAATGTTAATGAATTGATACCCATATATGTAATGAAAATGTGAATGATACATGAACGTATTTATGAAAAAGGTCTAAATAAATATCATTTTATGCTGCATTTTAATTTCTAAATATTTTTTGTTCAAAAATCAATTAAGTAGATGGATTTTGAGGTACGGTAGCGACACAGGGATAATACTATTTCTTCTTTTTCCTAACTTAGGTGGTGTTTTGCCAGACCTGTTTTCTTGTAGGAACTCTCCAGCATATTACCATGTATACATATTAGATTATGCCCGCTTGATGTAGGCTAAAAATAGATTTTCAGTAGATTTCGATAAAAGTTGAGGAAGTGTGTGGTTGAAAAGTTGTGGACCTGAAGTGTGTAGTTAAAATTATTATTGACTTTGACTTGATATTTAAATCAGATTTTAATCAGAACCAAAGAGTGGCTATAAATATAAGAAGACAAGTTTATTACAACGATTGTGATCTAGTGATGGAAAAGATAACTCCATGTAATTCTACAATTATTTCAAAGATAGATATTCTTAGAGAAAAGTATAACGAACCTGCTACGTGCCTATGGAATAGTGGATCACCAAATTTCTTCATCCATACGAAGTCATCATACATTGAATGGTAGACTGGGTAACCTGTAAGTGATAACTGTTGTCAGATCTTTCAATGAGCAAATGGCGTGTGTTGGGATATCATCTGTTGCTGAGAAATGTAAACTGAAAGTATATTGCATTGATTCATTCTATATTTTAAAATTTTCATGTTAATGAGCTATGTTTAATATCAGTACTCTGACCCCTTGTACTCTGATTTGATTTTCTAAAAATTGGAGTTCAAGTAATGGGAGAGAACAAAGTCAATAGGAATGTGAGGCCCCCAACTTTGAGGGCGTATGGCTGTTCTACTCTCAAGTCTTCAGTTTCTTCTTTTTGGCTTTATTTTTTCCGGTTACTTCTATCAATCACAGATTGACAGTTATTATCAACAGAAAGTTTTAGTTTTTACGGCAACTGTTTGAACTCCATTTATTATCAGGCTTTTCTAGTAAGGTCATAATCTCTAAGAGTCCTCGACTACACTTCTAAAATTTTATTTGTTTTAGTATGTTAATGCAATATTGTTCGTGAAAACACTAGAAGCGTATTCGTGAGATATCCTTTGAAATAGCATGATTGAGGTCTTTATTCAGTAGTTACAAAGAGAAAAGAAGGGAGTGTTTGTAGATATTAATATGCTTTATTTTCTTTTATGTGTTATTGTTTAAGGAGGACTTGATAGTTGAATGGAGCAAAATCTTGAGAAAATCATCATATCACCTAGTGTAAGCTTTTACCCATAGAAGCCTGTGTAGCAACTGTGATAATTTTTCTGTGGCTAAAGTAGATCATCTGTGCAGTAGAGAGAATTACATACTCTTAATTACGACTTCAATAAAGTTAATACAGTCAAAAAAAAATGCAGCAACATTATACAGTGGAAAAGGTTGGTTTTAGTGATTTTTCTTTGTGCTCAGGTTTGAGGATGTTCTGGTGGTCTAGCTTATTTTCCCTTGGCTTACTGTTTCAGTCAATCTATGTGCTTTTTCTTGTATGTCTCTGAAAAGTATAACCATTTTGGGATTTCAACAATTTTTAGAGTTCACCATTATGGAGGAATCCAACTTTCAAGTTTGATTTTTAGTGAACTTCTTCATTCTTAATACTAATTCAGGAAACAATTTAAATTTTGCTTGTCTATTGATTGGGATGTGACATTGCATAAGATCCTGAAGTGAAAATGTTTATATGGTGAAAATTTCCCATGAAAGGTACAGTTAAATATATTTTGTACTTTGAAGTGGGTGATCAGTGATAGGTGCATATACTGTGATGCTACAGAATCCAGCAAACATTTACTACTTTTTCACCACCCACTACATTAAGTACCCTTGTTTATCTTAACTTTTTCCCTTTTTTTCCCAAGAAGTTCAGAGTAAATATTGTGCAACACATGCTGAACTCTATTTACATTTTACATCATCTTGCCTTCAAAATTAGATAATTATTAAGAGGAAATATATTTTACCTCGAAATATCTCCATAATATGACTGCTCTCCTGTGCTTCTCTTGCTAATGTTTTCTTCCTCTATTGTCTTTGCTTACTGTTATTGCCATTCAGTGCTATATCTTGGCGTGTATTTTACTTTGTTCTCTAATTATTATATTATCCACCTGGTGTTTGGTTTGTATTTATTTATAATTTGACTTTTACTTCTATGTACTTGAGTCTAAAATGTCATTCATTCACTGGCATCATCTTCAGTAAGATAATCTTTTCATTGGTAATTGATCTATTACTTTATGGTAAAATCATAGTCTCTGGAGTATTTAGCAGAAGATAAAACTGTGTAAAGTTGTAACACTCCATTTCACTTTTCCATCAGTTTGAATAGTTCAGGGACTTAAATTAAAATTATCAAAACTATCTCATTGATGAGTATGGAATATTAAAATTCAGTTGATGCTGGAAAGATAGTTTATATACATAGTTGCATATTTGGATTAGAAAAATTTTACTTGTATATAACTATTGCACATAATGTTTTCTAAATTTAGAGTAGATTGGGAATATAATTCCACTTTTTTTCATCTTATGCTAGCTAGCTTTATGAGAGAACAAAAGTAAATGTTTTGCATTTTCTAGTACTTGTCAAATCCATTAGTTAATCCCCTTTTTTTTGCTTATTTGGGTTTATTACATATTTGTATATGAAATATTCTCTTTATGCTACTTCAGTCAACATCGAACCAATGGCTCAAAGTACATGTACGATACTCAAGAAAGGAAACAAACTGCTTTTATAAATTTTGTACATCAAGCAATATATTGCAGTAAAGAATTTTATTTTATTTTTTTTACTTTCCATTTTTCTTAGGCATTACACTGTAGTTTCTCAGTCATACAGTTTGCTTGTTACTATAGTGGTAACTATAATTTCAATCTTTCAGATAGTACTTGTTATTCTTAGACATCCCATTTTGAATGATATAAAATTTCCTTCAAAATCACCTCACTTCAAAACTTGAGCGAACAAAAAGATGAAAAGCTCAGGCCCTTGAGTGCTAGTTATCATTAAATAATTTAATCTGTTTATGTTACTTGATATTGTTTATTCTTTTCTTTGATTACTGTCTTCTTCCTCTTTCTCCTTTTTGATGTCTTTTAATGGTGGAAATTTGAAAGTAGTAACTGATATCTGTTTAATACCTGTTTTGTGCAGTCACAGAAACTGTGATCTAGCACATCTAAAAGTAACATTTCAATAGTATGAAGTGCTAGAGAAGGTGAGCATTTTACCTCCTCCAAAGGATATGTCAGCCGCTGGAATGCCTATATGTTGCACAAAGGCTGCATAATCCGATCCTCCCCCTCCTAGCCTCCCAATCTTAGTGGTAAACAAATCCATTATTATATTAAAGATATAAATATAAATGGTCTGCTTGTCTCCCCTTCTTTTTATTTCCAAAAATAAATAAAAAAACGTCATGTCAAGGTTAACACAGGATAGATTGAGAGAGACCAGCCCATACTCCTCAGCATCCCAATTGCAGAATACAATTGTACGTCTAGGTTTCCACCCTTTTTTCTGCAGCTTCCACAGCCTTTGTGCAACCTGTGTTTCACACTCAAATCAGGTAAACTAGCTATTTCTTTGAGAGACAAAAATACACATTTTGTCAATGGATCATGCAGGAAAATTGCCTGGAATTATAATTACCTCAAGCAGGGTTGCTGTGCCACTGTTGGGATCAACAGCTCCAAATGTCCATGCATCTCGATGATTACCCAAAATGACATATCTGGCAAATTTTCCTAATTCAGTTAGAAAATAACTATTTATACATAGAAGGATAATCTTCACATTTCTTGTGGCTTAAGCAATATAGCATTCTAATCTGTGCCCTTCGATGAATTTTGTACAGTTAATGATGATTTCATATAAAATTTCTAACATTTGTTTTCATACAATATAACATCTATCAGGGAAATACTGAAAATATGTTTTCTTGACCAACAGAACATTCAAAACTTACCTATCAGGTTCTTCTGCTCCTTCAATGATGCCAATAACATTCTGGATTGTGCTTATGACTTGTTTTCCCTGTGAAGATAAAAACAGTAGTCAGAGATTAGTGATGGCCTTACTATCTGTCTCTTCTATAGCTTTTTCACTTTTACAGGTGGATGATTAATGTATGCAAAGATGGAGTTTGACAGCTTAGAAATTCTCCTGGCACTTACTGTGTAACTCAAGTTCACAATTCCTGGTCCTGGTCCAACCCTGTAAACAGGGGCATCTTTTCCTCCTTGCCAATCATCATTTGCCACTTGTCCACCTAGGGACCTAATAATTTCATAGCCATCAGCCCAAGAAATGGGCAATGAAGGTATTAGGGGAACATGACCTCCCTTCTCTATTTCATCATCTGAAACTCTCTCACATTCTTCAGTGCTAGGCCACCCTGGTGTGGTAGGATCACCCGCATCTTTATAAACTGAACCCACCTGAACGCCACTGGGGGGCATCCACTTCTTATTAGGAAACCATTCTGAATCTCCTCCACCACCATAATCCTTCTTATCTGTGAAAATTAGCACTCCTATGGCACCTGCTGCATAAGCGTTCTCAACTATATTCCCTCTGAATATCTTTCCATACCTTGCCAAAGCAAGGGTACCTGAAACATTGACTCCCATTTCCTTCAATATTATATAGTCTTCTACCCGTCCGTAATTTACATACACCATGGGACCAGATACAGTGCCTGATTTAGCATATGCATGGAATGTTGGCAAGACTTCATTTGCTACATCTGCATATGGATCTCCATCATAAATCTCCTGGCGGAGAGTAAATTCGATAGGTGGTTCCGGAGGAACCCGTATTAGTGTCAAAGATCGAGATACCGGATAAGTCAAGGCAGTATAATAAGATGCTATGTGTGATCGAATGTTGTAGGAAGTGAAAGTGGACAGAACATAGTCGGCTGCTTCAGCGTTGGCTTCTGTGCCGGCGACGTGGGGCCGGCGAGTAAGCATGTACAGGTGAACTGATATTGATGCATTGTCTGACAGGGAATCAGATATAAACAAGGTGTGGTAGAAAGATTTTTGTGGGGTTGAGAAAAAGATGAAAGAAATTGAAGTGGCTAGAGCTATGATGCTTGAAATTGTTGCCTTAAACATTGAGCTTGGCTTTGGGGGAAAAAAAAAAAGGATTCTTGATGGAGTATATATTGGATGTTTATTCTCTAGTTTATATTCATATTGAGTTTAAAGGGGGTGGATGTCTGGAGAAACACAGTGTCAGTGCTTGTGAGAGAGAGTGTGAAATTTCAGTTTTTATTATCTTTAAAGGATATTGAAGGAAACATTAATCTTGCCCTTTTGTGCAGTGGGGGTGGATTTCCAAATTATTCCGTGTATATTATTCTAAATGTCATTTTCTAGGAAAAGCCTTTGTCGATATCTTTATAGCACGTAAGATTATTACAGATGCCAAATCAATCACCCTTAAAAGCACTTTATGGTTTTACCATTTACCAGTAGAAGATAAAATTTGTTTCAGTTTGTCTTCTATCGTATTTCATTTAATTATCCAATAATATTCTTATTTTCAGGTTTCTAAGCGTATTTTATTAATTTTTAGGAGAAATATATTTAGTCAAATTCAATACGATCAAGTAATGCTATTCGGGCTCATCAGTTAATTGATAGTTGGTTTGCTCGCATTGTTGAATAAAGTTATAATGTATTTTTGTACACTTAAAGATGTGATAGTGATCACACTGCTTTACAGATTGATGCTAATCGCAAAAAAAGTTGAACAATATTTTTTTCGGCACAGTTGATAACATTTCACAAATTTCAATCCATTTTGTAACTATGTCGAGAACTTGAAATCAATTCTTTTTCTATACACTAGACTATAACACATTGCACGTAATTTTATAACATCGATTATAGTTTTACTTGAATAATTATAGTTCCACTTAAAATATAAAAATGTAACACATAAAAATACGGTATAATATATAGTTTTTCAATATAGAAAAAAAAAAAAAAAAAACTTTGAATATGATTGCCACAACTTGATTAATTAAAAAATAAATAAATAAAAAATGATATAGATAAAAGGATTTTTACTTAAACTCGACATGGTTGTTATTATTATTATTATTATTATTATTATTATTATTATTATTATTATTATTATAAAAGTAAAAATTAATCAACAATGTTACAGACCCCCCGCCCCCTTCTTTTCAAAATGATTAGAATGTAACTTGATTAAGTAAAAATAAAAAATATAAATAAAAATAAAAAAATGATATAGATAAAAGGATTTTTACCTAAACTAGAAATGCTCTAAGCATAAGATTTTTGGCAAGTGACCTCGGGGACATAGTCCACTGGTGCAAAGGATAGAAGTAATGTTATTTCACGCCTTGCTGACAGTCGTAGTGTGGAGGTTTGATTCCTGAGACATGAAATTGGACTCCTTGTTGACGCAGTGTACAGACAGCTCTTGTTCCCTAGCCTGCTGAGATACATCCCGCGATTTACATCACTCACAAAGTTCTAGGGACGGGGCGGTGGGGGCCCTCAAAGATGGGGTTCAACTTTTTTTTTTTTTTCTTTTTGGCAAGCAAAATATCTTATGAGAAAATATTATTTTACCGTTGATTACCCTCTAAGACCCCGTTTGATTCCCATTTTTTCTGAATATGCATTTTTTTTTCAATCATACATTCTTCATTAAAATAATATTACACGTAAATAAAAAAAATTTCTTATTTTTCATCCACACATTTTCCATCAATTTAGAATTCTAAAATTCATTTTTCCATAAAAACGGATGCCAAACACAGCCTCTAACAATTGTTGTTTTCAAAAAGAAAGAAGAAGTTAAAGAAAATAAAACAATCTCGAAACTCAATCGCAATCAAAAGAAATAAATAGTCGGTTATCACATCAAAAATGGCATCAAAAAATCAAATCAATCAAATATTATAGTAATCAGTTTTACTTTCTCAAATGCTCCAAATTCTTTAAGGTTATCCTCAATAGTTAATAGCATGCCTAATAATTGAATTCAAACTCTCCAATCCTCTCTTGACGTTTTTGAGAAGTTATGATATATTAAATGTACATATCAAATGAATATAAATATGGAAAAATAAAGAATTTGCCCTGTAAATATATGATTTGATGGTATATGTGATTAATGTTTTTAATGAATAACAACGGACATTGTTGGTAAAAGAAAAAAGATATATATGAGGATAAATTGACCGTCAAAATATTTTTCAAACATTTCAATTTTTTAATATGTAAGGATTTATTTTTTAACTTTCAATTTCAAAAATAAAATTTAAAAGTTTTTTGTACAAAAACCATGTGATAATTCAATTTTTTAATTATAAACAATAACATTATAAAATTAAATGAATCTATGCACCACCCCACTCCGAAACCATTTCATTTTCTTCTTCTTTCTTTCTCTATCCTCTTCATTCTCTCTCATGTTTCTCCCTACCCATCATTTTTTCTTCTTTACCGGTGCTCACAACGATGATGCCACTCGCCACTATGAGCACCAACGACAACATGGAACGTCGCTATGGGCGGCAAATTGAGCGTCACGCACAAAGACAATAGGTTCGCCGTTGTGGTTTTGTGATGGTTTGTGGCAATGTTATGGTGATTTTTGTGGTTGTGCTAGTGGTGGTCACATGTTCATAGAGTGTGTGCCAAATGTTGTGTTAATATTTGCTGGTAGTACCGATGGTGTGATAGGTCTCAGGTCAAAAGGAATTAGTTATAGACCATAAGTCACAGACCAAAAGGAATTAATTACAAACCATATTTCAATGTCACAAGTCACACTACAAAGGTACATATCATTATCAACATGTCACATATCAAAATTAACTACTCACATTCCTTTATCCACTAATAATAGGCTATTTATTCAAGTTCACATATTACATTGCATAGGTAACAGATCAATGTCCACATGTTAAAGATCGAAAAGAACTAATCACGAGTCATTAGATCGATATCATATGTAACAATTTACAAGTCACATGTAACATGTCACATGTTATAGTGCATAGATCACTTGTCACAAACTCAAGAGAAACGATCACAGACCATTGATTTTCTTCAACTTTAGCTATTATCGTTGCCTTCAAATATTCTGATAAATAGTGCCGATAACTTCCATTATGTGACCTTAATCGTTTGAAGGGTTTCGATTTACTAGATTTTGACTGTGAAAATCCATGTATTTACTTGGAGGATTCTCTATTGATTTACTCTTTGTTCAATCTTCTGATACAAGGCACTGCCTCAATTGTCCTGCAGCTTTCAATTAACCAGATTTCAACGATGAGAATCGAAGTTATGTGTTCTGATGAGTTCTCTGTAGATTCTATCTTTGTTCGATCTTTTGATAGTTAGTGCCGACAATTTTTAGTTTGTGAACTCAGTTGTTTGGCAAGTTTCAATTAACCAGATTTCAACGTGGAAATCAAAATTATTTGCTCAGTCGAGTTCTTTGTATATTCTTTCTTTGTTCGATCATCACCGCTAAATATAATTAAAAACCAATATCCTATATCTATAGGTCCCAAAATAAGAGTTGTAGTTGGAATGAAATATATATTTTAGACTAGATAAGAATTATCTATGTATCATGATAACACCAAATAATTATCAATAATTATCTCCCCTTTGATGATTATTTGTACAATAACTATCTCATTAAAACTTTGTTCGACAAAAATTAGACAGGACAACAAATGCCGATAAATGAATAAGAGTACAAATAATTTGGAGTAATAAAATGATGCCTCGTTAAAACCTTGTCAAGAAAATCCAATAGGACAAAACTTGATCCAAAGAAAAAAAGTACAGCTACTCCCCCTGATTTCAACTCTTGTATCAAGCTACTCATATCTCGTACATCAATGTTTTCAATATTACAATTTTTGGTAAAGTATATCTCGTGTTGTCTTGTATAGTCTTTAGATAACATCGTCTTCATACGAGATATTTATCATCCTTTGATAATTGTAGTAACATGATGATTTGAAAAATAGCTCTTGTTGATCTCTTCAAGAGTTTCATACATATAAGAGCATATTTTGAGGGTAAGTGCCCTATAGGTTAAAGATATCATTGTACGAAGAATGTCTTATTATAAGTTTATTAGAAAATACATTGTGAGAAAAATCCTAATGAAGGAAATAGAATATATTATTATTTTGAATACGCTACAAAATTCCCTCATTAAAAACCTTGCCAGGAAAATTCAATGGGGCAAAACTTTAGTAAAAGAAAAAAGAGTACAACGCATAAGTACTCCTCCTCATAATAATACACTTGAATTATGCTTCAAGCATATTAAATCTTTCAAAAATAATATTAAATTTGTATGTAAGATAAAGTGGACTATAATCACATTTATATCTTTTTGTGTTCAGATGTAGATCCAGAAATTTTAGGTTTCTCTAGTAAATTTAATTTAGTATGATCGCATCATTTCATTTAACCAATCATTACATCGATTGATGACAAGTTTATTTCAATATCCTTGATATTCATAATATAATGTAGCAAATTACCTGCAAAAGTATTATCAACAATTTTTCTTTTCAATCCTATTTCTTTTCTAATAATGACATAATTTATTGAGATGCTTCAACTTTCAACATATTAGGTACCTGAACAATTTCTAAGATTTTATAATTTGTTATGTCTAAATACTCATCAATAGTATATGCCTCTGTAATTGGGATCATCATTGCTAACTACTCCATCTTCGCTCAAAGATTTTTTGTATTATAATCGAATACTACCACGCTTCGAGCATGCCACAAATATATCAAATATAATGCAATCAAATTGTCTTCTTATGACATCAATTAGTGTTGGAGCATTTAAAATTGGTGCGTGAGATATTGTTTAACTCTTTGGTCAGTAAATATAGCTAAATAAATTATTTTTCGAACTTTTGGTTCGAATGATATTTTACGAGAATTTAGATGATGATGCATGTATAATTATTTTCAGCTTCTTAATTTCTCTCTCTAATGCTGAGAGAATTGTCCAATCAAATTGACAATAATTTTTCAGTGTTTTAAAATATCACCCATAACGGCTCAAGCTACGCATTTATTCTTAACACTCTTTACTTTCCATCTCAGTACATTGTAGTTGTTCAATTTTACATTTATTGTACTGTCAAAATAATTAGATAAAAAAATTAGCTCTGACCATAAGACAATTATAATGGAAGAACTATGATATTGACATGATGCGTAATAGCATTCCCATAAATTTAGGAAGAACTTTATTCTCAACTAATTGAGG